GTATGATCATACTGCTATTTACAACACCTCGTATGATCATACTGCTATTTACAACACCTTGTATGATCATACAAGGTGTTGTAAATAGCAGTATGATCATACAAGGTGTAATCAGCAGTATGATCATACAAGGTGTAATCAGCAGTATGATCATACAACACTGCAGTTTTCCTAAACCTTGCGCATCTGACGTTTCCTGCACTTAACTCCTGCTACCTGAAGCACCTGCTTCCTGCACCTGACTCCTGCTACCTGAATCACCTGCTTCCTGCTACCTGAATCGCCTGCTTCCTGCTACCTGAATCACTTGCTTCCTGCTACCTGAAGCACCTGCTTCCTGCATTTGACTCCTGCTACCTGAAGCACCTGCTTCCTGCACCTGACTCCTGCTACCTGAATCACCTGCTTCCTGCACATACTTCCTGCACCTGCCTCCTGTACCTGACTCGTTACCTGAAGCACCTGGCTCCTGCTTCCTGAAGCACCTATCTCCTGTACCTGACCCCTGCACCTGCCTCCTTTACCTGACTCGTTACCTGACGCACCTGACCCCTTCACCTGCCTCCTGTGCTTAACTCAATACCTGAAGCACCTGCCTCCTGTACCTGACTCGCTACCTGAAGCACCTGACCCCTGCACCTGCCTCCTGTACCTAACTCGTTATCTGAAGCACCTGCCTCCTGTGCCTGACTCGTTACCTGAAGCACCTTACCCCTGCACCTGCCTCCTGTACCTGACCCATGCACCTGCCTCCTGTACCTGACTCGTTACCTGAAGGATCTGACCCCTGCACCTGCCTCCTGCACCTGACTGACTTTTACACCCTGCATGATTAAGCTGTTGTATCTCACATTTGTTATGTACTTAAAAACGGCCCACTCATAGCCTTTGTCGCCACTAACCATATATTATTATTTTGGCTGGATTTGTATTTCTGTAAAATAATCATAATAACTGCTAATAATTTAGGCAAGACAGTTTTCTAGCTTAAGGGTTAGACTGAGCCTTGCTAGTGCAAGCAGGAATTCTTAATTAACAGGTTTGGTCAGAAATGCCGGCAGCCACTTGCCAGGAGAGGTGGTTTCTTACTGGCCGGTGTTGGTCACACCCCGTGTGTGTATGCCTGGAGTACACCTGGAGAGGGTTTCGGGGGTCAACGCCCCCGCGGCCCGGTCTGTGATCAGGTCTCATGTGTCCAGAGAATGTGGACATATCTGCTTCATTTGTATTGTCACATACGTGCACAGAAAGACATACTTGTACATTGTACGTGAATACACACACACACAGTGGAGGCAGAATCCATACATAGCTTTAAGCAGAGGTATGACAAAGCTCACGGTTCAGGGAGAGTGACCTAGTAGCGACCAGTGAAGAGGCGGGGGCCAGGAGCTTGGACTCGACCCAGCAACCTTAACTAGGTGAGTACACACACACAGGGGTTAGGGACAGAATGTTTCAGAGATGTGATACAGCAACAAGGGGTCACAGCTGGAAGTTGAAAACTTAGATGAGTCACAGGGATGTTAGGAAGTACTTCAGTCATAGAGTTGTCAGGAAGTGGAACAGTCTGGAGAGTGATGCAGTGGAGGTAGGATCCATACATAGCTTTAAGAAGAGGTATGGTAAAGTTCATGGAGCAGGTAAAGGGTAGACCTAGTAGCGACCAGTGAAGAGGCCCTGCAGTCACAATTAAATGAGTACACACACACGCACACACAGAGTATAGTCTAGGTGGCCAAAAACTGCAAACCTCACTCGGGAAAAAAGATCTTGGGGTGAGTATAATACTGAGTACATCTGAGGCACACATCAGTCAGGTAATTGTTGCTGCATACGGGCGTCTGGCAAACCTAAGAATACCGTTCCGATACCTCAGTAAGGAATCGTTCAAGACCCTGTACACCATATACGTCAGGCCCATATTGGAGTATGCAGCACCAGTTTGGAAACCACACCTGGTCAAGCACGTCAAGAAATTAGAGAAAGTGCAAAGGTTTGAAGCAAGAATAGTTCCAGAGCTAAGGGGATTGTCCTACGAAGAAAGGTTAAGGGAAATCGGCCTGACGAAACTGGAGGACAGGAGGGTCAGGGGAGACATGATAACGACATATAAAATACTGCGAGGAATTAACAAAATGGACAAAGGCAGGATGTTCCAGAGATGGCACAGAAACAAGTGAAGACTCCTATGAGTCAAAGGGATGTTAGGAAGTATTTCTTAAGTCACAGAGTTGTCAGGAAGTGGAAAGCGACGTAGTGGAGGCAGGAACCATACATAGTTTTAAGACAAAGTTTGATAAAGCTCATGGATCAGGGAGAGAGAGGACCTAGTAGCGATCAGTGAAGAGGCGGGGCCAGAAGCTATGAATCGACCCCTGCAACCACAAATAGATGAGTACACACACACATTCTTGGCTCGACACATACATCAGTATCTTAGCACGAGCTGAAAAGTCAACAACCTTTCTCACCACTGGATCGAATACAAATTGTAAGCTCAAGGTTTTACACAAGAGTTGCAGTGTGAGAGCAGAGAGTAGAGAGTAAATCTAGAGAAGACTGAGAGTAAAGGGTAATGTTAGTAAGACAACAGGTGCAGCATAACGGTAGAAAGAGAAAGGGTCAAGAATAAGTCAACGGGACTCTGTTAAGAAGACACGTGAGGTGTTGATCCTACAGGTACCTTGATGTTGGTGAGGAGCTTTTGATCTGAGGAGTTGTACCTAACCTTACTTCCTCGGATCAAATCTGATTACTCACCCCTTCCATTCTCCTGGTGTTGTGTGACCCCTCACCAGTTTAAAGCTGTCACTGAATGTGATAATATGGATAGACGCAAATATACAAATCTGTACTCTTCTCCAGGCTGAGGGACTGACAACCTTGAACTATTTCTACAAAGTTGACGGACTAATTACATCATCTTTTCCTCGTCACTTATGTTGCCTTCAATCTATACTCCGCATTTGGCAGAAGAAGCCTACCGTGTAAGCGAAACGTTTCAACACTAGAGATACTCAGCTGTTGTACTTGTGTCATACTCGTTACTACCCATGTTCTGGTTCTTCGATTGTTCAGTAAATTCGGGTGACTGACGATCAGTTGACGGTTATCATACACTCACCTGCCTACCAGTTTTAAGATAGTTCCAAACCCATGCGTTCGCCGAGTTGAAATATATAGTGCATTTAAATCAAGTTATATAAAGAATCAAACGCTTGGTAGCCTTCTTCTTTCAACGCACCGGCTGTATCCCACCGAGGCAGGGTGACCCAAAAAAAAAAAAGTCTCTCTTTTTAACTTTAATAATATATACAGGAGAAGGGGTTACTAGCCTCTTGCTCCCGGCATTTTAGTCGCCTCTTACAACATGCATGTATTACATAGGAAGAATTCTGTTCCACTTCCACCTTATAATTCACAAACGCATGGCAACCTTATAATTAATAATCAGTGTATGACAACCTTATAATCCGTAATCAAACGCATGACAACCTAATAATCCACAAGTCAAACGCATGACAGTCTTATAATTCTCACACGAATACTTATACCAGTATTTCTTCGAGAATATTCACTATAAACACAGATAATTACAAGAGATTTCAAATTTCATATTCAGAAATTTATTTCTGGCAATACCCTCGATTTTAATATAAATTCTAACATTTATTTTTGCAGTGATATATGAAAAGCCTATAATTTTTTTTTTTTAATTTTATATGTAATGTATACTATACAAGAGTTGGCAGTAAACACCGGTTGTAACGTTCAAATAACCAGCTCTTACATATGTAACTAATATATCTCTATCATAACTTAGGTTAATTCTGGGATTCATAAAGGAACTGAATTAACTGGTATTTATTCCAAAGTTAATTTAATAAGTAATATAGAACACTAGTAGGTACCGTACCTGGTGTTGTGTCGATACTCATAGGTACCTGGTGTTGTGTCGATACTCATAGGTACCTGGTGTTGTGTCGATACTCATAGGTACCTGGTGTTGTGTCGATACACTCATAGGTACCTGGTGTTGTGTCGATACTCATAGGTACCTGGTGTTGTGTCGATACTCATAGGTACCTGGTGTTGTGTCGATACTCATAGGTACCTGGTGTTGTGTCGATACACTCATAGGTACCTGGTGTTGTGTCGATACTCATAGGTACCTGGTGTTGTGTCGATACTCATAGGTACCTGGTGTTGTGTCGATACACTCATAGGTACCTGGTGTTGTGTCGATACACTCATAGGTACCTGGTGTTGTGTCGATACACTCATAGGTACCTGGTGTTGTGTCGATACACTCATAGGTACCTGGTGTTGTGTCGATACACTCATAGGTACCTGGTGTTGTGTCGATACACTCATAGGTACCTGGTGTTGTGTCGATACTCATAGGTACCTGGTGTTGTGTCGATACACTCATAGGTACCTGGTGTTGTGTCGATACTCATAGGTACCTGGTGTTGTGTCGATACTCATAGGTACCTGGTGTTGTGTCGATACACACAGTAGGTACCTGGTGTTGTGTCGAGACAGCAGTAGGTACCTGGTGTTGTGTCGAGACAGCAGTAGGTACCTGGTGTTGTGTCGAGACAGCAGTAGGTACCTGGTGTTGTGTCGAGACAGCAGTAGGTACCTGGTGTTGTGTCGAGACAGCAGTAGGTACCTGGTGTTGTGTCGAGACAGCAGTAGGTACCTGGTGTTGTGTCGAGACAGCAGTAGGTACCTGGTGTTGTGTCGAGACAGCAGTAGGTACCTGGTGTTGTGTCGAGACAGCAGTAGGTACCTGGTGTTGTGTCGAGACAGCAGTAGGTACCTGGTGTTGTGTCGAGACAGCAGTAGGTACCTGGTGTTGTGTCGAGACAGCAGTAGGTATCTTGTAAAATGTGGAAACACTTTACGTATTTGGTATAATGTTAAGACACCAGGTACTTGCTATAATATAGAAATACCTTAAACAGTACATGAAATGTAGGAGTGGTACTTACATGATATTAGTCGAGTCAGCGTCGCTCTGCAGCGTTGATGTATATTTCACTTCTCTTTTATAAGACACGAGCTCCACCAGGGGGAGTGTCTCACCCTTTATTGTCAGCCACTCAGGGACGATCTTCACTTTCGTCTTAGCCAGTCAGAGGAGTGCTTCATCCTCGCGTCAGCCACTCAGAGATGTGTCTCTGCCTTTACTGTCAGCCAGTCAGGGACATGGACCGATATTCTCCTGTCAGCCAACCACAGCCTCGTCTGAGGACCTTCCAGCAAAAATCGTGTTATGCTGGATTATTGACATTGATGTTTAATGTTTGTGCAGTATTTTTTTTCAGTCTGCAGTTGTAGGTTACTATACACTATGTTACGTCACACTACCACCAGTTGTATGTTACGTCACACTACCACCAGTTGTATGTTACGTCACACTACCACCAGTTGTATGTTACGTCACACTACCACTAGTTGTATGTTACGTCACACTACCACCAGTTGTATGTTACGTCGTACACATTACCACCAGATGTATGACACACACACACACACACACAAACCATACCCCGGCCGAGATTGAACCCGCGGTCATAGAGTCTCAAAACTCCAGCCCGTCGCACACCATTTTTTAAGTTACGTAACATACCACCACCAATTGTATGTAACATTACGCTCATCACCACAGCCATCTGTAAAAAGCAATTCTCTGGGTTATTCCCAAGGACACACACAAATCTCTACACAGAACCAAACTTTGTCCCGAGCAGCGCTTCGTCTATACCTGTGTTGCCTATATCTTTCTTCAGAAACAGGGGTCTTGATCTCAACATTCACCTACAGAAAAGCTACTTTTATCCTTACTCAGCTTTATAATCACTGAGATAGAAAGAAGCGATCAGACGTTTCCCTCTTCCCGTAGCCCGTTTCTACCTTCAAGTATCCATTATGCAAATGTAGGTTCTCTGTGAAATACCTGGGACCGCCATCTAGGGTTCTTCTGTCCCTGTTACTCGGTCTGAGGCCAGCTGTGTTACTCGGGCTGAGGCCACAGCTGTGTTGCTCGGCTTGTCACAGCTGTGTTGCTCGGCCTGAGGCCACAGCTGTGTTGCTCGGCCTGGGGCCACAGCTGTGTTGCTCGGCCTGAGGCCACAGCTGTGTTGCTCGACCTGAGGCCACAGCTGAGTTGCTCGGTCTGGGGTCACAGCTGTGTTGCTCGGCCTGAGGCCACAGCTGTGTTGCTCGGTCTGAGGCCACAGCTGTGTTGCTCGGCCTGGGGTCACAGCTGTGTTGCTCGGCCTGAGGCCACAGCTGTGTTGCTCGGCCTGAGACCACAGTTGTGTTGCTCGGCCTGGGGTCACAGCTGTGTTGCTCGGCCTGAGGCCACAGCTGTATTGCTCGGTCTTAGGCCACAGCTGTGTTGCTCTGCTGAGGCCACAGCTGTGTTGCTCGGCCAGAGGCCACAGCTGTGTTGCTCGGCCTGAGGCCACAGCTGTGTTGCTCGACCTGAGGCCACAGCTGTGTTGCTCGGCCTGAGGCCACAGCTGTGTTGCTCGGCCTGAGGCCACAGCTGTGTTGCTCGGCCTTAGGCCACAGCTGTGTTGCTCGGCCTGAGGCCACAGCTGTGTTGCTCGGCCAGAGGCCACAGCTGTGTTGCTCGGCCTGAGGCCACAGCTGTGTTGCTCGACCTGAGGCCACAGCTGTGTTGCTCGGCCTGGGGCCACAGCTGTGTTGCTCGGCCTGAGGCCACAGCTGTGTTGCTCGGTCTGGGGCCACAGCTGTGTTGCTCGGCCTGAGGCCACAGCTGTGTTGCTCGGCCTGAGGCCACAGCTGTGTTGCTCGGCCTGAGGCCACAGCTGTGTTGCTCGGCCTGGGGCCACAGCTGTGTTGCTCGACCTGAGGCCACAGCTGTGTTGCTCGGCCTGAGGCCAGTGTTGCTCGGCCTGAGGCCACAGCTGTGTTGCTCGGCCTGGGGCCACAGCTGTGTTGCTCGGCCTGAGGCCACAGCTGTGTTGCTCGGCCTGAGGCCACAGCTGTGTTGCTCGGCCTGAGGCCAGTGTTGCTCGGCCTGAGGCCACAGCTGTGTTGCTCGGCCTGAGGCCAGTGTTGCTCGACCTGAGGCCAGTGTTGCTCGGCCTGAGGCCAGTGTTGCTCGACCTGAGGCCAGTGTTGCTCGGTCTGGGGCCACAGCTGTGTTGCGAAAATCAGGTAAAGGAGAAGCAGTCTGAGTGCAACTTAACTCACTCATCGCCGTCGAGATTTTATTTTTGTTTAATAAGATCCACAGCCTAACAGATCAAACTTGTTTAGTAAACGTCACAGCCAGATAGATCGTAACTGTTCAGTAAGAGTCACAACCTGAGAAAGTATAATTTCGTACTCATATCCTTAAGATTTATATGTAAGGGTATTGTTTTAAATTTAACTAAAAACGTTACACAATATGAGTGTTTATTTGACCAGGATGTGGCTACAGTTAACATTGATGTTAATGATAATAATTATTCATAATTTTTCAACATAACTGCACATGAGTCTCATACATAAAAAGTAATAATTAAGTCTGTGTTTTGATCAAATCGTACATTATTACAAATTTTCGAATCTACAATAAATGACTTTCTTGATTCTCCTTTATAATTAAAATATTTTGTGCTGCATTTAATGTATCTGATTGGTCAGTTTGTCACCTTATTAATCTCTATATTAAGTGTTTATATACATTATTATTAGTAGTATATTTAAGGGGAAGTGTAAAACCCACAGGGGTCATACAGAGCCTGGGGAATGAGAGGCAATCATGTTTGAGCCAAGGAAGGGGAGGACAAGTCCAAGTCCTGGGATCAAGAGCCCCTCACTAGCCTCAAGGAACGTTGGCAACAAGAATATATATTCATGTACATGTGACTGACGCCCGTGTTAGCTTCGTCATGGAAAATCCTCTTTCCAGTTGGTCTTCTTGGATACTAACGGCGGGGCGTTGGTAGTCTTTTTGATGCCAAAGTATCTCTTAACTCCAGCAGGCGCTGGTGTGGGCGTAACGGGAGGCGACGACGAAGATTCATGCTGGTTATAATCATCTCTAGCGTAGTCTTCATCCATATCCATCCACTCCTCCTCTCGGAATACCGGGAAGCCACGGTCAGGAGTGCCGTAATTACCGGAGAGAAAGTCTGGATCAGTGTACCAAGCTGGGATGTGGTCTTCAGCATTGGCATCTTCGGCAGTGGCGGGTGTCGTCTGAGGTGCAGCTTGGAACTGTGGCATGTTGCGTACCTGCTGGAGCAGAGCAGCTGTGCACGAGGGTGGCAGAGTCAGTGAGGCGGCAGAGTCGCTCATCAAGTTAAGAGTCTGGCCGGTATTATCTTTGTGAAGGCTGACCGAAACGTTCTTAGTTAGGTGCTCCAGGATGATCAGGAGAGTCTCTTGAAGGTTGAGGGACTGAATGATCTGCTCCTGCGCAAAGCCCTTCAGGTCCTTGACTGTTGTAACTAGTTGGTCTGCTGGCTCCTTTTGGCGTAGATCGGACCAATCGGTACCTACGAGTTCGCTGGACACCTCATCCAACCGCTGTTCCACGCTCTTTAGCTTCGCCACCGTCGTGTTAGTTTCCTCTATCGTCTGGATGATGACCTCCCGCACCTCGCCAAGCTTCATATTGGTCTCTATAAACTCTTGGTCCCGCCTCACTTCGCTCTCCACCGCTTCAATCTGGAGGGAACGACTGACATCTCAACCACAATGTTATCCGACTTCACATTTTTAATATGCGAGCTTCATAACTTGAAGTTCATGCATAACACACCAAGAATAACCAATGAATGTGTATCCATTATTTATACAATGTGAACCATAAAAAACTTGAATACAAAAACATGAAATCAGCTAAGCGTAAAGACTTAACGAGTTCATTATTGAAGCTGGTGATTGTAGTTCACTTGGTCTCTGGACGTTTATATAGTGTGGTCAGTATAAAACATGGCCGGGGAGATTAAGTTAAGAGATTACATTTTTTTTTAATTTAACAAAGGCTGAGTACATCAGTAGTCTGCTGCTACCAGCATAGAGGGTTGTGGTGGTAGTGGGAGCTCCTAGTGGGGTGATGGTGAGAGGTTAGTAGGAGCTACCAGTGGGATGATGGTGAGAGGGTAGTGGGGCTTTCCAGTGGAGGTGATGGTGGGGAAACTTACCGGTTGGGTGTTGGTGAGGGGTGAGGCATTATCTCCCAGTCTCTCCACCACTTCCCTCAGCTCAGACAACTGCTGACGGTTCAACTGATAGCTGTTGAGAGAGCATGAGACTCTAACTCTAGCAATACAAACAAAACCAAGTATTGTTAATATATGTATGAGAAGGCGTTAAACCCGTAGGGATCACACAGACCATGGGGAAGCAATCAGGTTCGATCCATGGAAGAGAAAGACAAGAGGCGCTCTTGATCAAATTCCTTGGATCAGAATCCCCTCCCCAACTTTAAGGCAGCTAGGGATAATTAACTCAATATATTATATATATATATATATATATATATATATATATATATATATATATATATATATATATATATATATATATATATATATATATATAGGAGTGAGGAAGAGCCAGTTGTGAGTGTGGGGGAAGTTCGTGAGGCAGTAGGTAAAATGAAAGGGGGTAAGGCAGCCGGGATTGATGGGATAAAGATAGAAATGTTGAAAGCAGGTGGGGATATAGTTTTGGAGTGGTTGGTGCAATTATTTAATAAATGTATGGAAGAGGGTAAGGTACCTAGGGATTGGCAGAGAGCATACCTGGAGTTTACCTGGAGAGAGTTCCGGGGGTCAACGCCCCCGCGGCCCGGTCTGAGACCAGGCCTCCTGGTGGATCAGAGCCTGATCAACCAGGCTGTTGCTGCTGGCTGCACGCAAACCAACATACGAGCCACAACCCGGCTGATCCGGAACTGACTTTAGGTGCTTGTCCAGTGCCAGCTTGAAGACTGCCAGGGGTCTGTTGGTAATCCCCCTTATGTGTGCTGGGAGGCAGTTGAACAGTCTCGGGCCCCTGACACTTATTGTATGGTCTCTTAACGTGCTAGTGACACCCCTGCTTTTCATTGGGGGGATGGTGCATCGTCTGCCAAGTCTTTTGCTTTCGTAGTGGGTGATTTTCGTATGCAAGTTCGGTACTAGTCCCTCTAGGATTTTCCAGGTGTATATAATCATGTATCTCTCCCTCCTGCGTTCCAGGGAATACAGGTTTAGGAACCTCAAGCGCTCCCAATAATTGAGGTGTTTTATCTCCGTTATGCGCGCCGTGAAAGTTCTCTGTACATTTTCTAGGTCGGCAATTTCACCTGCCTTGAAAGGTGCTGTTAGTGTGCAGCAATATTCCAGCCTAGATAGAACAAGTGACCTGAAGAGTGTCATCATGGGCTTGGCCTCCCTAGTTTTGAAGGTTCTCATTATCCATCCTGTCATTTTTCTAGCAGATGCGATTGATACAATGTTATGGTCCTTGAAGGTGAGATCCTCCGACATGATCACTCCCAGGTCTTTGACGTTGGTGTTTCGCTCTATTTTGTGGCCAGAATTTGTTTTGTACTCTGATGAAGATTTAATTTCCTCATGTTTACCATATCTGAGTAATTGAAATTTCTCATCGTTGAACTTCATATTGTTTTCTGCAGCCCACTGAAAGATTTGGTTGATGTCTGCCTGGAGCTTTGCAGTGTCTGCAATGGAAGACACTGTCATGCAGATTCGGGTGTCATCTGCAAAGGAAGACACGGTGCTGTGGCTGACATCCTTGTCTATGTCGGATATAAGGATGAGGAACAAGATGGGAGCGAGTACTGTGCCTTGTGGAACAGAGCTTTTCACCGTAGCTGCCTCGGACTTTACTCTGTTGACGACTACTCTCTGTGTTCTGTTAGTGAGGAAATTATAGATCCATCGACCGACTTTTCCTGTTATTCCTTTAGCACGCATTTTGTGCGCTATTACGCCATGGTCACACTTGTCGAAGGCTTTTGCAAAGTCTGTATATATTACATCTGCATTCTTTTTGTCTTCTAGTGCATTTAGGACCTTGTCGTAGTGGTCCAATAGTTGAGACAGACAGGAGCGACCTGTTCTAAACCCATGTTGCCCTGGGTTGTGTAACTGATGGGTTTCTAGATGCGTGGTGATCTTGCTTCTTAGGACCCTTTCAAAGATTTTTATGATATGGGATGTTAGTGCTATTGGTCTGTAGTTCTTTGCTGTTGCTTTACTGCCCCCTTTGTGGAGTGGGGCTATGTCTGTTGTTTTTAGTAACTGTGGGACGACCCCCGTGTCCATGCTCCCTCTCCATAGGATGGAAAAGGCTCGTGATAGGGGCTTCTTGCAGTTCTTGATGAACACAGAGTTCCATGAGTCTGGCCCTGGGGCAGAGTGCATGGGCATGTCATTTATCGCCTGTTCGAAGTCATTTGGCGTCAGGATAACATCGGATAGGCTTGTGTTAATCAAATTTTGTGGCTCTCTCATAAAAAATTCATTTTGATCTTCGACTCTCAGTCTGGTTAGCGGCTTGCTAAAAACTGAGTCATATTGGGACTTGAGTAGCTCACTCATTTCCTTGTTGTCATCTGTGTAGGACCCATCTTGTTTAAGTAGGGGCCCAATACTGGACGTTGTTCTCGATTTTGATTTGGCATAGGAGAAGAAATACTTTGGGTTTCTTTCGATTTCATTTATGGCTTTTAGTTCTTCCCGCGATTCCTGACTCCTAAAGGATTCTTTTAGCTTAAGTTCGATGCTTGCTATTTCTCTGACCAGTGTCTCCCTACGCATTTCAGATATATTGACCTCTTTTAGCCGCTCTGTTATTCTTTTCCGTCGCCTGTAAAGGGAGCGCCTGTCTCTTTCAGTTTTACATCTACTCCTCCTTTTTCTTAGAGGAATAAGCCTTGTGCATACATCGAGTGCTACCGAGTTAATCTGTTCTAGGCATAAGTTGGGGTCTGTGTTGCTTAGTATATCTTCCCAGCTTATATCGGTTAGGACTTGGTTTACTTGGTCCCACTTTATGTTTTTGTTATTGAAGTTGAATTTGGTGAATGCTCCCTCGTGACTAATCTCATTATGTCGGTCTGGGGCTCCGCGCATACATGACTGAACCTCAATTATGTTGTGATCTGAGTATATTGTTTTTGATATGGTGATATTTCTTATCAGATCATCATTGTTAGTGAAGATGAGGTCTAGTGTATTCTCCAGTCTAGTAGGCTCTATTATTTGCTGGTTTAAATTGAATTTTGTGCAGAGATTTAAAAGCTCGCGTGAGTGTGAGTTTTCATCAGAGCTGCCTCCTGGTGTTATTACTGCAACAATATTATTTGCTATATTCCTCCATTTTAGGTGCCTTAAGTTGAAATCCCCCAGGAGCAAGATGTTGGGTGCAGGAGCTGGAAGGTTTTCCAGACAGTGGTCAATTTTTAACAGCTGTTCCTGGAATTGCTGGGATGTTGCATCCGGAGGCTTGTAGACTATCACAATGACTAGGTTTTGGTTCTCGACCTTTACTGCTAAAACTTCCACTACATCATTTGAGGCATTTAGCAGTTCTGTGCAAACAAGTGACTCTGCAATGTACAGGCCAACCCCCCCCTTTTGCCTGTTCACTCTGTCACATCTGTATAGGTTGTAACCTGGGATCCATATTTCATTGTCCAAGTGATCCTTTATGTGGGTCTCAGTGAAAGCCGCGAACATTGCCTTTGCCTCTGCAAGCAGTCCACGGATGAAAGGTATTTTGTTGTTTGTTGCTGGCTTTAGACCCTGTATATTTGCAAAGAAGAATGTTATCGGACTGGTGGGATTGTTGGTACTGGGGGGGGATTTTTTTTCCGGCATGCATAGTTCCTTTGTATAAAGGCAAAGGGGATAAAAGAGAGTGCAAAAATTATAGGGGGATAAGTCTGTTGAGTGTACCTGGTAAAGTGTATGGTAGAGTTATAATTGAAAGAATTAAGAATAAGACGGAGAATAGGATAGCAGATGAACAAGGAGGCTTTAGAAAAGGTAGGGCGTGTGTGGACCAGGTGTTTACAGTGAAACATATAAGTGAACAGTATTTAGATAAGGCTAAAGAGGTCTTTGTGGCATTTATGGATTTGGAAAAGGCGTATGACAGGGTGGATAGGGGGGCAATGTGGCAGATGTTGCAAGTGTATGGTGTAGGAGGTAGGTTACTGAAAGCAGTGAAGAGTTTTTACGAGGATAGTGAGGCTCAAGTTAGAGTATGTAGGAAAGAGGGAAATTTTTTCCCAGTAAAAGTAGGCCTTAGACAAGGATGTGTGATGTCACCGTGGTTGTTTAATATATTTATAGATGGGGTTGTAAGAGAAGTAAATGCGAGGGTCTTGGCAAGAGGCATGGAGTTAAAAGATAAAGAATCACACACAAAGTGGGAATTGTCACAGCTGCTCTTTGCTGATGACACTGTGCTCTTGGGAGATTCTGAAGAGAAGTTGCAGAGATTGGTGGATGAATTTGGTAGGGTGTGCAAAAGAAGAAAATTAAAGGTGAATACAGGAAAGAGTAAGGTTATGAGGATAACAAAAAGATTAGGTGATGAAAGATTGAATATCAGATTGGAGGGAGAGAGTATGGAGGAGGTGAACGTATTCAGATATTTGGGAGTGGACGTGTCAGCGGATGGGTCTATGAAAGATGAGGTGAATCATAGAATTGATGAGGGAAAAAGAGTGAGTGGTGCACTTAGGAGTCTGTGGAGACAAAGAACTTTGTCCTTGGAGGCAAAGAGGGGAATGTATGAGAGTATAGTTTTACCAACGCTCTTATATGGGTGTGAAGCGTGGGTGATGAATGTTGCAGCGAGGAGAAGGCTGGAGGCAGTGGAGATGTCATGTCTGAGGGCAATGTGTGGTGTGAATATAATGCAGAGAATTCGTAGTTTGGAAGTTAGGAGGAGGTGTGGGATTACCAAAACTGTTGTCCAGAGGGCTGAGGAAGGGTTGTTGAGGTGGTTCGGACATGTAGAAAGAATGGAGCGAAACAGAATGACTTCAAGAGTGTATCAGTCTGTAGTGGAAGGAAGGCGGGGTAGGGGTCGGCCTAGGAAAGGTGGAGGGAGGGGGTTAAAGGAGGTTTTGTGTGCGAGGGGCTTGGACTTCCAGCAGGCATGCATGAGCGTGTTTGATAGGAGTGAATGGAGACAAATGGTTTTTAATACTTGACGTGCTGTTGGAGTGTGAGCAAAGTAACATTTATGAAGGGATTCAGGAAACCGGCAGGCCGGACTTGAGTCCTGGAGATGGGAAGTACAGTGCCTGCACTCTGAAGGAGGGGTGTTAATGTTGCAGTTTAAAAACTGTAGTGTAAAGCACCCTTCTGGCAAGACAGTGATGGAGTGAATGATGGTGAAAGTTTTTTCTTTTTCGGGCCACCCTGCCTTGGTGGGAATCGGCCAGTGTGATAATAAAAAAAAATATATTTTATATATATATATATATATATATATATATATATATATATATATATATATATATATATATATAATATATATATATATATATATTATATATATATATATATTAAACATTTCACTAATAAATTCTTCCCATAGTCTGATTAGTGGATGAAGGGCCATGCCTTCTTTCCCTGAATGACCCACACGGGTTTAGCGCTTCTTAAACCAAAATAAATTCACTAATAAAAATTTTCACACGTACTTAAAAGAAACAGGTTTTAAACCAGTCACTAATTAGGTATACATGCCCAGTACCCTGGGCATGTATACCTAATTAGTGACTGACCCCTGGTGACCTAGTGACTGACTACAGGTCACCCAGTGACTCACCCCAGGTCGATGTCTGTGACGAGCTTGTCCAGAATCTCTGTTATCTTGTGTTCGAGTGTGGGTTCCTCATTCTGGATGCGCTTGCAGGAGTCGATGAAGGCATTCTGGGCGATGAGGACAGCAGTGTAGGATGACTCCACCAAGCTGCCCAGGTCCTGCATCTCCGCCATCAGAATCTGACCTGTGGACGATGTGTTCGTCAGGTAACATGACATAATTGCCTCCTCTGTGGCTCACAGGAATGAAAATAATTTTTAACTAACATTGAAAAATAGGGAAAGTCACTGGATAAATCCAGAGACTTATTCGTCAGGAAAAAAAAATAACATGATAAGACATATGCAACAGTTTGGTATCTTTATGGTCGAGACACTTCGCCTGCACAGCTGGCTTCTTCAGTTAAGAGGAGACAGCAGAGGTAATAGAGATACAAGATGATAGTCCCTCAGCCCTTGAAGAAGTATACCACAGTGACATGCTCAACGGTTCGTTAAGAGCATTCTAGCAACTTTGTCAGACCATAAATAGTTTTTATTGAAACCACAAGGTTACTCAAGATAGATTTAATGTCTGAGGTAGAGCACTTGGCCCTTCAGTAACTTTTATACATCCTTGACTGAAATATTGTTGGCCCAAACGTCTCGTAGAGTAAAACATGCTACAGAGACTACTGGAGAGAAGCATAACTGGTTGCCTACCATGATTTGTTTGAGTGATCATACAGAGAATCATGCTGGAGAGACTGTAGCTGGGTGCTTATTATAATTTGACTTTGTGATTATAGTCTGAATTTGTGATTATAGTCTGAAATTGTGATTATAGTCTGAATTTGTGATCATACTGTACTGTGAAACAAACTAGAAAGAAGCCTAGTTGGTTCCATACCATGGTCTGGCTCGGTGTTCATACGACGCAGCAGGACGGAAAACCTCTGGTGGAGGAGTTTGAGTAAGTCTACTCCCTCGCTAGCCTGCTTGGTCAAGCCACGACGCAGGTCCTCACTCTTCTTCAGCAGTGACTGCAGCAGCTGCTTCACCTGTCCAGGAAGGGACGAGGCAACGCCATAAGAGACGAGTTTAAATTATGACGGCAAGACCAAGTAGGGGATGGGGGTGACAGCTCTCATTCCTTGGACCAAGAGCCCACTACCAGAATCTAGGCACAACGCTTAAAGAAGTCAGGTAAGATAACCGACTTATGGCTTAACATTTAAAAGAAAATCACTAGAATATTTCCAGCTTAATGATTATAATGCTAATATATTTTAGGTTTAAATATCACAGACTTGCTACCGTATCTGTGTTATGTGTTATGCAGTATACACGTACATCTAAGACAATGGCATTTTGATTGGCAGAAGACAGACAGTGGTATTTTGATTGGCAGAAAACAGGCAGTGGTGTCTTGATTGGCAGAAAACAGGCAGTGGTGTTTTGATTGGCAGAAAACAGGCAGTGGTGTTTTGATTGGCAGAAAACAGGCAGTGGTGTTTTGATTGGCAGAAAACAGGCAGTGGTGTTTTGATTGGCAGAAAACAAGCAGTGGTGTTTTGATTGGCAGAAACAGGCAGTGGTGTTTTGATTGGCAGAAAACAGGCAGTGGTGTTTTTGATTGGCAGAAAACAGGCAGTGGTGTTTTGATTGGCAGAAAACAGGCAGTAGTGTTTTGATTGGCAGAAAACAGGCAGTGGTGTTTTGATTGGCAGAAAACAGGCAGTAGTGTTTTGATTGGCAGAAAACTGGCAGTAGTGTTTTGATTGGCAGAAAATAGGCAGTGGTGTTTTGATTGGCAGAAAACAGGCAGTGGTGTTTTGATTGGCAGAAAACAGGCAGTGGTGTTTTGATTGGCAGAAAACAAGCAGTGGTGTTTTGATTGGCAGAAAACAGGCAGTGGTGTTTTGATTGGCAGAAAACAGGCAGTGGTGTTTTGATTGGCAGAAAACAGGCAGTGGTGTTTTGATTGGCAGAAAACAGGCAGTGGTGTTTTGATTGGCAGAAAAACAGGCAGTAGTGGTTTTGATTGGCAGAAAATAGGCAGTGGTGTTTTGATTGGCAGAAAACAGGCAGTGATGTTTTGATTGGCAGAAAACAGGCAGTGGTGTTTTGATTGGCAGAAAACAGGCAGTGGTGTTTTGATTGGCAGAAAACAGGCAGTGGTGTTTTGATTGGCAGAAAACAGGCAGTGATGTTTGATTGGCAGAAAACAGGCAGTGGTGTTTTGATTGGCAGAAAACAGGCAGTGGTGTTTTGATTGGCAGAAAACAGGCAGTGGTGTTTTGATTGGAAGAAAACATGACTTTTTCTAGATGATCCGCTAAATAAATGGATAAAACAACTGCTGGCCTACCGGAGCTAAGTTTTAAACCACATTAAAAAAAGAAACACACATAGAGGATGACCACGAGGTTGTGACTGACAGAATACCATCAGAAGTACTGACCTCCAGCAGATCAGCGACGGTGGTCGGGTCTGGGCAGTGGAGCGGGTGAGGCAGACCAAACACACTGGCAGCGACTCCTGTGATGGACACGCATTATTGCACACTCGACTTTCGCTTATGTATATTTTCGAGAGTGACAAGATCAGTGCACTTGTCAGTGACTGAATTTATAAATAATCTAACCTTTACACGTTTATCGTTTAAATATGTTTTTTTAATTATTATTATTATTACGCGCACATGAAGGCTTTAGATTATTTATTATTTTTATTATTATCACACTGGCCGATTCCCACCAAGGCAGGGTGGCCCGAAAAAGAAAAACTTTCACCATCATTCACTCCATCACTGTCTTGCCAGAAGGGTGCTTTACACTACAGTTTTTAAACTGCAACATTAACACCCCTCCTTCAGAGTGCAGGCACTGTACTTCCCATCTCCAGGACTCAAGTCCGGCCTGCCGGTTTCCCTGAAGTAACATTTATGAAGGGATTCAGGGAAACCGGCAGGCCGGACTTGAGTCCTGGAGATGGGAAGTACAGTGCCTGCACTCTGAAGGAGGGGTGTTAATGTTGCAGTTTAAAAACTGTAGTGTAAAGCACCCTTCTGGCAAGACAGTGATGGAGTGAATGATGGTGAAAGTTTTTCTTTTTCGGGCCACCCTGCCTTGGTGGGAATCGGCCAGTGTGATAATAATAAAAATAATAAATAATCTAAAGCCTTCATGTGCGCGTGTGTGTATGCTGGTATAAATTATTGGTATGATATATACCCAAAGAATAAAATATAATAAGCACTTGCCACTAGCGCGCGCGCACACACACACACACACACACACACACACACACACACACACACACACACACACACACACACACACACACACACACACACACACACACACACACACACACACACACACACACACACACACAATAGAGAATTAGAAGTTTTTTTTTTTTTTAGCAGACTGAAGGCAGCATCAGTGGTAGGCTTAAATATAGATAACTTTTCCGATATTTTCCTTGTGTGTGTGTGTGCGTTTGTGCCTCATGAATGTATATAAGTATATTTACAAGACATTGTAGAAGTGACTTGCGTAGCATGGCGCTGCAAAACTGTGATATAAGTGTCACACTGAAGTGTCCTTATGAGAAATTTTATTTTGGTTTTATCAGGTATTTTTAGAAGAATGCAATGCTAACTTATTCTTGATATCTACCTCAAGAATAATACTTTGATACAAAAATAAAATATGAATGATAAACTTTAAAATTATCTCTCTCACCTCCATAGAAATCTTATATATATCTGGGAACATTTCAGAACTGAAATATTATTAAACACGAACGTGTGGCATATAAATGTTATGAAATTTAGACTAGACTTCCGTTCCTTGGATCAAATCTGATTACTACCATCACCCAGGCGTTGTATGTTCTTTACGGGTTTAGCACTTCGATAAGATTATAATAACTGCAGAGGAAGGAACATGAGGTGGCTTACCCCTCCTGCGGGCAGCCTCCAATAGAGTGAGGTTGAGTCCGGCGGTGGCGCTGGCGATGCTCTGTACCAGCGTGTGGTTCATCTGCTGCAGTGATGGCACAGACCTGCACACACAAACATTACTCTCTCACACATTATTTTACATAGTTCAATTCACAGTACCCTACGGCTGCTGTGGCTGGGTGGTGACACTCGCAACTCCTGTCTGGAAGATCAGCTCAGTCCCCGGAAAGACTAGTCAGCCTCCAGCGTGTAAAACAATTACGTTTTAGAAAGAAAAGTTCAATTTACAAATTATGGGCCTTGAAAACTACTGGCCTTTCTGCAAACTCGGTCTACAGACGAATTTTCAGACATGGCTTGCTCATCAAGCATTATGTTAATACACAAATAACCCGCATATAGGAGACTGAAACTTAGACCATTAACTAGCCACACATAAGCGCAAAGGAAAGGGAGTCGGTATATATACGAGAGGGGGGGGGGCGGACCCGGGAGTAGTAGAACGAAAGGAGGTAGTAGTATAATTGTAGAAGTAGTGATAGTGTTAGTATTGGTGGTAGTAGTAGTAGTGCAGCAGTCGCATAGGTGGCAATAAGAGAGGACTAATGGTAGTGACACAAGAGTTAGAGAGTGGAGTGTTAACAAAGCAATAGTAGTAGTAGTGCAGGTAGTCTAAGAACAAGAGAAAAGGAAAATAGGAGCACTGCAGGAGAGCTAATGGCCCACGAGGGACAAAAACACAGGGGGAAAAACTCACTTAGGTAGAAGAAAGGAAAGACAAAGAAAATATAGGAAAGGAGCAGAGGTAAGGTGAGGAGAATATAAAGATCAGGTGAAGTCGCTAGTGTAATGAGTAAAAAAGGCATTTACAGAGACAAAGTGTATAGAGGATGCTTCAAACCATACCACGGGTGGGGTTTGAATCCGCGGTATGGTTTGTTTGCAATCGTGTTATTACGATTTCGTGAGTCAAGTTAAGGATGCTTCAACATGACGGCGTCTGTGAAGGCTGGAAGGACATTATTAATGTCGACAAATCTAACACTTTTCTGTACTCTTTAAGTCTGTCAGATTATTATTATTATAATCAAGGGGGAAGCGCTAAACCCGGAGGATTATACAGCGCCTGGGGGGGGATGTGGAAGGCATTCAGGCTTAATTCGGGGAACTGGAGCACAGATCCAATTCCCTAAATCAAGAACCCCTCACCAACATCAAGGAACCTTCCTTGAGGGGTAAGTCTGTCAGGAAGAGAGTGGTCATTTTCTCAAAGGTACTGGAGAGGACAAGAGCGGGTAATGGAGTAAGTAGACTCCGGACGTACGTAATCTTGAGTGAGAGGTCCTGATGCACCAACTGTATCTTATTCTTGATGTCCCTAACGGCGTCATTAGTGATCTTGCCTTCCTTCTGCATAACCTCCCTGGTCTCTGCCTCCGCCGTCAGCGCCTGCAGGCTCAGGTCCTCCAGTTCCTCCCGCGTCTCTCTCACCTCGTCCTGCAGCTCTCCAACACTCTGCTCAATGACGGAGATTAATAGATTAAAAACCATGGACTTTAGCTCTAGTTATCCCGAGAATAAGAGGGACATATGAGCGACGGATACAAATGGAAACCATAAATAAAGAGAAAATTGAAGTGCTGTCATTATCTAACCAAGACAGAATTTGCAACAATACATTTGAGCTAGATAAATATGAATTTACTAAGAATATAGCAGAGCACTGGTTTGGTAATATTTACATGAGTTGAAATAACTGCCAGGTACTATCGTTAAGTATATACTTGTATTAAGTTAGATCTGTTACAATGGTAGCTATAAACCTTGTGCTCCCCGAGGTAGTAAGCACTCCCTTACACGCACACACACACACACACTCACTTTGCTGATCTTCTTGTAGAGTGTGTCGTGTAGTGTGTTTAGAGCCTGGTTCAGCAGGCGAGGTAGAGTGAGTTCTACATACTCGCCGATACTTCTCGTTATCTACACAATCAGTGACAACCAACGAAGACACATGATGTATCACCAGCCACGACGCACCACCAGCCACGACGAACCACCAGACACGACGCACCACCAGCCACGACGCATCACCAGCCCCGACGCACCACCAGTCACAACACACCACCAAATGGAAGAACAAAAAAGTAGTTCAGTTTTTGTTGTCATCTTGTTCGTGATGCCCAAAAGCGATCTTATATGTCAAGTAGTTTCACAATGCTTCATATTTCGTCACAGTGAAAGTTAGACGGCTAGTTACGTATATTGTACACTCGACTATCTGCAAGACAAGATAATAATAAAGGAAAAGTTATGACATTTCAGGTATTTATGCTGCTTCGCCTGTATTGGTGAAAATACTAGCAGGTTATGGTGCATCATCTGGGTTAGACGTAATTATGAGGCCAGTTATCATTCTGGAACTTTAACTACGCTAGAAGTAACTACGAACAAATGTGTTCCGGGATACACATTATGAATACGGGTAAGATATGGTATAAAATACCAACAAGTGTGAAAAGGAGACACTATTAGCATATTTTACTGAGAAAACGATTCGCCACGAATGGCTCCTTCAGTCTTGAAAGAGAGGACGTGCGTGGCTTAACATTTCTTCAATAAAATAACAAGTACATGTAAACATACAAGTGGAAAATAGGAATAAAATTAATAAAGAAATTAAGATAACTTAACCAAAACAGAACCCGTGACAGTGAACTCCAGATAGACCAGTTCTGATTTAGAAAGTAAATATGAAAGTACTGGTCTGGCAATAAAGTTATTGACAAACGGAACAAACTGGCAAGTAGAGTAATAATGTTGGTAGAATTACCGACAATATGTAAAGTAAAAGGACATAAGTTCAACTAATGTGACATTTTATTGTGGCAACGTTTCGCTCTCCAGGAGCTTTGTCAAACTTGACAAAGCTCCTGGGGAGCGAAACGTTGTCCCAATATGTCACATTAGTTGCACTTCTGTCCTTTTACTTTACAAGTAGAGTCATTGAAGGGAAAAAAGGGTAGAAAATACACGAGTCTGAATGGTTCAGTGTGAGAAGAGCCTAGCCTAGCCTAGCCTAACCAGGCTTCTCTCTGAAGATGGTTAAGTATTTTCTTTAATTTTTCCCATTATTTTTTTGGAAAGATTGTTTTATAATATTTCAATGGGTATATTCGTAACGAATAAAACATGCATTATAAAAGGAACACTAAAGTTTAGAGTACCGTTGCAGAGATGTTGTCTGCATCAAAGGCTCTTATACTCAAGCTGGACCTGGTGTCGTGCCTAGACGTGTCGTGCCTAGACGCATCGTGTCCTGACGTGTCTTGTCTGGACATGTCGTGCCTCGACGTATCATCAGACTTGCCCCGGGAGTCCATTAGCTCCAGCTGTGTAGCCACACCCTGGTGGTGGTTGATAATGCTATGGATAAGATGTGGCGAGATATCGATACTATGGTAAAGAGAAATGCTCACTGGGTAGGTGGGCGAGACGCCGTCAGTAAAGGTTCGATATAACTGCATTTTTGTCTCTTAATCGGATAATGCTATAATGTGTGTATGTGCGTACTCACCTATATGTGGTTGCAGGGGTCGATTCACATGTATATTAATATTTGTGTTAAATCAATTATGAGTTGATGTAGGATAACAGCTTTTAACCTGTAAATGAGTTAAGTTACATGGATCCTTCTAAGGTACCTGGAGGTCCCTGTTGGTGTTCCTGATGGTGGACTTGAGGGAGGTGGTCTCCAGTGTGAGGCGAGAGTCGAGAGCTTCCACCTTCTCCACCAGGGAGTCTACTTTACTGAGCCGTGAGGACAGTGTCTCGATCAGCATCTCCTGTAAATTCACGTCAGTGTTAGTGAGTTTGTCCTCGCCAGAGTTTAATTGAGGAAATAATACACGGTATATTTTAACAAGTTTGCCCACTCACGGAAACTTGATGACACATAGCAAAGAATGACACTGAGCTTGAATAAATATATCTCTTGATGTATAGTATATGCATTGAGAGTGTTTTAACCTAACAAGCTGAGAGGTGCAGCTCTTAATGCATAAACCTTACCTTTGATAAACCTCTGATGAGTTTTGAAAGTCTTATTACTCACGTAGCCCGGCCGTGGGCCAGGCTCATCTGAGAGTTTTACTGAAAGGGTATCTGTGTGCGTAAACTGACTATATTAATCTTTTTTGCGTATTAAATAAAGTATTCTTGATGTTAGTGATCAAATAACATGCAGTCGTAATGACCCACATGCAGTCGTACTGACTCACATGCAGTCGTAATGAGACACCTGCATTCGTAATGACCCACCTGCAGTCGTACTGATTCACATGCAGTCGTAATGAGACACCTGCATTCGTAATGACCCACCTGCAGTCGTACTGACTCACATGCAGTCGTAATGACTCACCTGCAGTCGTAATGACCCACATGCAGTCGTAATGATCCACATGCAGTCGTAATGATTCACCTGCAGTCGTAATGACCCACATGCAATCTTAATGACCTGGCTTAGTTCTAATAGATTAACTAATTTATCGACCTTATTCAACATTAACAAGTGAACTAATGCTCAAGGTTAGTGAGTGATGGTAGTGATTTAAATTTATGGATATTGTGAGGATATGCAAAGCTTATAGATTTTATAAAAGGAAAATATTTCAGGAAGTATATAAGCACAAGTGAGGTGACTTTTTGAGATAAAAATCTATAGCTTAAGAGCCTATCACTGTCATCACGACACAACATTTTCCTTGACAGGGCTACCAAGCAACTAGGCTTGAACAAAAATCCTGTTACATCCTCAAGACCTTCAAAATGGTGGAATGGGTTTTGGGACGTGGAAAACCAGCTCAGGGACACTTCAGCTTCCAACACGCACTAACGGAATTTTTGACCAAGATTCTACGAGTCTCCTTATTTTACAACGGAATTGTAAATTGTATTGACCCCCATATATGGCAGGATCAGCATGATTAGTGTACGAATGTGTAGCTACTGACCCCTTTGGTGGCAGTGTCAGCAAGACGTACAAGGCGGGACTCGAGGCTGACCTCCAGCGTAGCGAACCTCTGCGTTAGTTGTGTCACTGCCTGACTCAGCTCCAGCAGTCCATCAGTAGTCCCCGCGCCTCCACGCATTGCACTCTGCAAGACACATACACACACCGGCTGTATTGTATGATGGTAACTCTGTTCTCCTAAGCTGTATTATCTTGGATCTGGAGGCATTAGTGACACTTCTGATGTTATAGATCTGGGTCTCTGTGATGTTTATATCATAGACTGAGTTGAAGCTAATTGGCTGTGGCATATGAGAGCCTTCAGCTTAATATCTTGGGATATGTGATGAATGGTTTGAAAAACCGACAAGTTGAAGATTGAGACACTTATGCAGCATATGGGAATCTTTATTCAGGAAACGTTTCGCCACACAGTGGCTTCATCAGTCCAATACAAAGAGGAAGGAGTAAGGAGAGGAGGAGAATGAGGTGATCAGTCCCTCAACCTGGAGTCGATGTGTTCAGTCCATCAATCTTGTAGAATGTACTTGTTCAACCTTTGGACGAAGACCTACTTCGACTAGTGGATGGTGCCACTATGACCCCGCCTCCGCCTGCTTCACCTCACCTCACTACAGTATATAAGCCGCGTCTACGGCCCTATGCTGTACATTCTACAAGATTTATGGACTGAACACATCGACTCCAGGTTGAGGGACTGATCACCTCATTCTCCTCCTCTCCTTACTCCTTCCTCTTTGTATTGGACTGATGAAGCCACTGTGTGGCGAAACGTTTCCTGAATAAAGATTCCCATATGCTGCATAAGTGTCTCAATCTTCATCTTGGGATATACTGTGATCGTTTTGAGTTTCTGTGGCTTTTATTATTTTGGTTCATGGTCTTCACCTTACTATGCCCCGTGGCCTGGTGGCTAAAGCTCTCGCTTCACACGGTGAGTTGTCTGGGTTCGATTCCCAGCTAGGGTAGAAACATTGGGCGTGTCATTATACCGGTGTCATTATACCTAATTTGCCCGAAATGCTCAGCATAACAAGCGACTTTCTGTATAGTAGTATGTCATTAATGTCAGATAGGTCTGTATACCTTGTATATGTACTTGTAGAAATATATTATTAATTAAGGCAGGAGGATATGACGTCCTTCCCATGAGTGACGGCTCCGGTAATGGTAATTACCATTACCATATATTCACCATATATCTGAGAGTAATTATCGTGATGTTTTTTTAGTGCAACAAAACTGGCTGCTTGAAAGGCGGGTTCAACTTTGAATGTTTATCTTACATCATATTAAGCCGGTGATTATCAGAGCGATCCGTGTATGCGGACGCTGGTTATAAAACGGTCTAGACAGAATTGACATTATAGATCGTATCTGTAAGTGGAGCAGCTTGTCTTGTGAGGAGGGTTAAGTAAATATTCGAGTGAGCATGAAGTGTAAATCTCAAGAGTGAAGGCTCATGCTGTGTGCGTCTGCTGTGTATAAATCTCAAGAGTGAAGGCTCATGCTGTGTGCGTCTGCTGTGTATAAATCTCAAGAGTGAAGGCTCGTGTTGTGCGTCTGCTGTGTATAAATCTCAAGAGTGAAGGTTCGTGCTGTGTGCGTCTGCTGTGTATAAATCTCAAGAGTGAAGGTTCGTGCTGTGTGCGTCTGTTGTGTATAAATCTATAAATCTCAAGAGTGAAGGCTCGTGCTATGTGCGTCTGCTGTGTATAAATCTGTAACTCTCAAGAGTGATCCCCCCACCTCTCCCCCCGCCCCTTCGTACCCCAACCAGCGGGGGTTGTTCCCCCCCTGCTGGCACCCATACCACGGACCCACTTATCACCAAACCAAGCAAAGTGGAGACGTGGGGATACAAACTGGATAAGTATTAAACCATAGTAGAAATAATAAAATAAGAGATAGTTGATTGGTGTGCAGGGAAACAGTGAACATGCAGTGACTGGATAGTGGAAAAGGATAAACCACCACCAAATCCTCTCGCCACCCTCCCCCTCCGACACCCCAACCAGCGGGGATGGTCACTGAGCTCCTCAGGAGTGCTAGAATATCTGATACACGAAAGGAGGCGCTGACCAGGGAAGTGGAAACTATCGAACTTAAGCTAAATGACTCTTACAGGAACCAGGAGAGGCAGGAGGAGCTTAAAGCTATTAGTGAAATTGAAAGAAATTCAAAATATTTCTTTTCATATGCCAAAAACAAGGCAAATACCACATCTAGTATCGGGCCCTTACTCAGACAGGATTCAATATATTCAAAGTTTATTCTCTATAAGGATTACAATGCTGAGTTTACAGAAATTTGGTTATTGTTTGGTTTACATGTAGTAAAATTGTAATTACAGAGTGTACCACTAGAACGCTTAGCATGGCTAGGCATTTCGGGCATACTTAGTTTTATTCTTAATTGTAAAATATTACAAATTATGAGGTAAGTTGGTATTATGGCTAAGTGACTAAATACTAGTTTGTGAGTTTAGCAATGTGAATGCTTTTGTTTTGGCACAGTATATAGTTTCAGTATTGGAGTATCACAGGATTCATTATTTTAAGACTGAGATTAATATTTCTGTTTATGGTCAAAAGAGTGAGTCGAGTGTAAGTGTGAACCACCAGGTGGTATTCGTGTAGTTAGTTGACGGGGTGTATCAGGGAGATAAGATGTTTTCTAATGGTAGTTTGAAGGTGATGAATGTGTCGCAGTTCTAGAGTTTCTCAGGTAGGGTATTCCAGATTTTAGGGCCTTTGACATACATTGAATTTTTGTAAAGGTTTAGTCGGACACGGGGAATGTCGTAGAGATGTTTGTTTTGGTGTTATGCCTGTGGGTTCTGTCACAACTATCAAGAAAGCGTTTAAGGTCAAGGTTGATATTAGAGTTTAAGGCCCTGTAGATATAGATTGCACAGTAGTAAGTGTGGATGTACTGAACTGGGAGTGAGTTTAGATCTTTGAAGAGTGGGGGGGGTGTGCTGCCAGGGATGGGATTTAAGTGATTATTCTTACTGCAAGCTTTTTGTTGGGTTATTATTGGCTTTAGGTGTGTTGCTGCAGTTGATCCCCAAGCACAAATAGCATAGGTGAGGTATGGATAAGTAAGCGAGTGGTATAGTGTGAGAAGGGCATTTTGCGGCACGTAGTATCGTATCTTGGAGAGGATCCCAACCGTTTTGGATACTTTTTTGGCTATATGCTGGATATGGGTGCTGAAATTCAGGTTGTTGTCAAGGTATAAGCCTAGGAATTTTCCCCCATTATTTCTGGTAATTAGAGTGTTGTCAATCTTAATGTTAATTTGTGCATCTCCTGCTCTGCTACCAAACATAATATAGTAAGTTTTGTCAGTGTTAAGCGTAAGTTTATTGGCTGTCATCCACACAGACTTTGCAAAAGCCTTTGACAAGTGCGACCATGGTGTAATAGCACACAAAATACGTGCTAAAGGGATAACCGGCCAAGTAGGCAGATGGATCTTCTACTTTCTAACCAGTCGCACACAAAGAGTAGTGGTAAACAGAGTTAAATCAGATGCTGCCATAGTGAAGAGCTCTGTCCCACAAGGCACAGTACTCGCACCTATCCTGTTCCTTATTCTCATATCAGACATAGACAGAGATGTAAACCACAGCGCTGTATCATCTTTTGCAGACGATACTAGGATCTGCATGAGAGTGTCATCCATTGAGGACACTGTTAACCTCCAAGAAGATATAAACCAAGTTTTCCATTGGGCAACAGAGAACAATATGATGTTCAATGAAGACAAATTCCAACTACTCCGTTATGGAAAACTGGAGGAAATAATAACTATAACTGAGTATACTACAAACTCCAATCACACAATAGAGAGGAAAAGTAATGTGAGAGACCTGGGAGTGGTAATGTCAGAGGATCTCACCTTCAAGGATCACAACAATGCCACTATCACATCTGCTAGGAAACTGATAGGATGGATAATGAGAACATTCAAGACAAGAGATGCTAAGGCAATGATGATCCTTTTTAAATTACTTATTCTTTCTAGGCTGGAATACTGCTGTACATTAACATCCCCATTCAAGGCAGGTGAAAATGCAGAGTTAGAAATGTACAGAGAACCTTTACTGCATGTATAAGTTCCATCAAGCACCTTAACTACTGGGAGCGCCTGAAAGCACTTGACTTGTACTCACTAGAGCGCAGGCGAGAGAGATATATCATAATCTACACCTGGAAGATTCTGGAGGGACTGGTCCTTAATATGCACACAGCAATCACTCCATACGAAAGCAAAAGACTTGGCAGGCAATGCAACATACCCCCAGTGAAAAGTAGGGGCGTCACTGGTACACTAAGAGAAAACACAGTAAGTGTCCGGGGCCCAAGACTGTTCAGCAGCCTCCCACCAGCAATAAGGGGCATTACGGGAAGACCTCTGGTTGTCTTCAAGAGGGAGCTGGACAGATACCTAAAGACGGTGCCGGATCAGCCGGGCTGTGGTTCGTACGTTGGATTACGTGCGGCCAGCAGTAACAGCCTCGTTGATCAGGCCCTGATCCACCGGGAGGCCTGGTCGTGGACCGGGCCGCGGGGACGTTGATCCCCGGAATTCCCTCCAGGTAGACTCCAGGTAGGTACCTGGAGGTTACCTGGAGGTTATTCCGGGGATCAACGCCCCCGCGGCCCGGTCCATGACCAGGCCTCCCGATGGATCAGGGCCTGATCAACTAGGCTGTTACTGCTGGCCGCACGCAGTCCAACGTACGAGCCACAGCCCGGCTGATCCGGCACTGACTTTAGGTATCTGTCCAGCTCTCTCTTGAAGGCAGCCAGGGGTTTATTGGCAATTCCCCTAATGCTTGATGGGAGGCTGTTGAACAGTTTTGGGCCCCGGACACTTATGGTGTTTTCTCTTAGTGTACCAATGGCGCCCCTACTTTTTATTGGCGGCATTTTGCATCGCCTGCCCAGTCTTTTACTTTCGTAGGGAGTGATTTCTGTGTGCAGATTTGGGACCATTCCTTCCAAGATTTTCCAAGTGTAGATGAAGGTTCGTGCTATGTGCATCTGCTGTGTATAAATCTCAAGAGTGAAGGCTCTTGCTATGTGCGTCTGCTGTGTATAAATCTCAAGAGTG